GAAAGAGTATGTTTGACACACAGTTTAAGCCTTCAAAAAATCTTCAGTCAAAACCAGAAATGAATGGCAAAGAAAATGCTAAAGTGTATTTGTAAACGGAGATTATTTAGTGTGGAATTAGAACTGAATAAAAAGTATAAGGACAGAGTACAATTTCATTGAGAAGAACAGAAGATAAAACACAGGAGAAATTGTATAGTGCTTTCCTTGCCCAAGTTATATATGCTACAGTACAGCCATATCACCAGCACCCCAATCTGATCAAAAACTCTGCAGAGCAAGCCCACGACACAACAGCACAGTGCACAGCACGACTAATTCAAAGAGATTCAATATGATCATCCTTTACAGTCAAATGCATTTAGGTACTCATGAAATCCCCTCTAACAACCATGCAAAGCAAGAAAATTAATTGAGCACTGTGACAGCCTGACCCCATGCAGGCAAACAAGGATTCTACAGCAGCCAGCTAAGCCCAGTTCTTTTGGTGGCCTTCGGCACTGAGGGGTTTGCTGGAAAGCAGCAAGCACAAGGCAAACAGATCAGTGTGAACCATGCAATCTCAAAAAGCTCATTTCTCTCCCATGCACAATGCATGCCAAATCTTAAGATTCCTGCAGCATCCAGTTATGAAACTACAATAGAAGAGGAAAACAGATGGCTAAAGCCTTTTGAAAAAAAAAAAAAAAAATTAAGCCTTACTTCATTTCCAAAAGAGAAATATGTGCATTTGAAAAGAGAGAACCTACTTCAGACCATACCTAATCGATATAAAAATAGGCAACTTGCCTCATGGACATGAAGCCTGTCTTCAGTTAAAGCTTCTGAACATATGAGAAGTTTAACCCTTTTAAACATCATGGCTCACTGTATTTATTAGCAGGATTTAAAAGCAAAGGAGTTCATGTAAGAAATGACACGCATTACAAACACTGTACAAAAATAACATATTTCTCTCTAAAGCAACTCCTGAACACAAATCCTGTGTAAAAGCCTCTATGTTTACTCTTTTCCAGCCTTTGTAAGCAGTTAGCATCTATTTTCAGGTGAGCAGCTTTCTTGCTCATAAAAGCATCCAATGAACAATGACAAGTTAGGAACTTGGCAGCCTGAACTCTCTAATTTCAGCCATTCTCTCTGGAAACCAGTCAATATTACATTTGAAGCCTCTATTGAGTTCTTGACTTGTGAGATATCACACAACAATAAGGAAACAAAAAGCCACCCTAAAGAGCTCATGTGTTCAGCAGCAGATGTTTCAGCAGCTCTATAAAACTGCTATCAGAGCTTCAGGTCCAGGTACTGGAACTGACCTCTGGTCCAAAGGAGAACTTTCCTCCTCTGCTGAGCCTGGATCTCAGACAAGCCTCAACTGAGCTACCAGAACAGAGGCCTCCAGCAGCTGGGCAGCCCCAGGGTACACAAGAGATTCTTGCTGGGCTGGCAGCTTGAACCAGGATCAAGAGGAGACCTGGGCTTCTTCAAACTGGCAGTAAACTCAAAGGCAACCCAAACAGGGCCTGACACCAATGTTCAGGCACCTGCACTGGGTCCCCTGCACAAGTCACAGCATTCCAGCTGCCAGGGATGCCCAGCACGCTCCTGCCCCCCACAGCAACCCTCTGCACAGAGCAGGAAATACAGCTGTTTCTGCAGAAGCCTGGGCAAAATGAATGAGGCTGATTTCTGGTTTTATTCAATGACTCTGCACTGAGGATAAGCACTGAATTAACTCCCTGGTATCACATGTGGTCCTTTCAGGCCAGGGCTGCAGTTCACTGGTGAGGCTGTGTGGAAAATCCTGAGCTGCCCCAGCTTAGTCCAAGGGTAAATGGAGGATGACACACTCCAGCACTTTCAAGCAAGCACCTTTCAAAAAAATCAACTGCTTATATGATTAATGCAAAGTACTATGTTTTTGCAGTAGCAGGAGTCACTAATGCATATTAAAGACCAAGACTACATCTGTTTATTTATTTTTAATGAAAGGTTCTAAATAAACCAACTGTTCAATTTTTTCAAAGGTACTGAGCAGCCACAATAATTAGGTCTGGGTCAGTGGGAGCTGCCAAAATGCCACAGAAGTGACTCAGTCCTGTTAATTATCTGAAAAATAAGGAACAGTGACAGCACTGGACACTCCATCACGACCTATCTCCCCCAAACACACCACCAAGGAAAAGCAATCATTTGTGAGTAGCTGTCTGTAACCATTAGTAGGGACAAAAATTAGAAATTATAGACAGGAGAAAAAGCAAGGAAAGTTTTCAGACCAATCTGGACAAATACTTAGAGATAATATAATCCTTTAAAAAAGTGAAGCAGCAACACCACAACAGTGGCAACTTCTCACAGTGCCAGGAGAATGCCAGAAAAAAAAAAAAAGAGCAGGAGCTGTTTTAGACACTATGTTTAAAATCAAACAAACAAAAAAAAACCTCACCAAAAACTCCAATCAATACAAGTCCAGAAGAAACAGAGTATTAAAGCTAACCAGAAATTCACCCTACCTTGCACACCATCCACAATCAGTACAAAAATATTCTAATACACAAGGCTCTTTCTGAAGAGTCAGACAAATGGAAACCTAACAGAAGACAGCAGCTCACAAAGAGGAACACAGCCTGTTTTGGTCATGCACTCACAATCCTTGCTCACAGACACTTCTCAGTTCCAGTGTGTTTATGACTGTGTTGTCATTTACTTTAAAATATGAATGGAGCATTCTTTTCCTCCAGAAACACTGCATTGTTAAAATGCCAGTACATTAAAATAACTTACTGCTTACTACATTTCAATCAAACAAACTACAGACTACAGCACTGACACTTAATATATATTGAGTGCTTTCAGCAAGAACAGCATATGGAGTTCATTTCTTGTGTTTTGTTCTCAAACTCAGAGGCAAGACTTAGAAACAGATGAAGCAGTGATCCTTTGGGCATGCACAGAAACTGTATCTTCTCCAAAGTTAGGGAAACACTTAGTTGAAGGCTCTCAAAATACATAAATATTTAACCCTTCATTTCTATAGATGTTTGATTTAAGGCAGAAGTATAATATTTTAGGTTGCATGCTTAAAGAACATTTTTTGTGAAGGTTCTCAAAATAACAGGAAGCAGAATCAAAAAGCTTACAGTCAAAGGACTTTATGAGTTATGTTTTTCCCTATTGTGATTTTTCCTAGAATTCATCCACATTTCACCACCATACTGTTCCTTTGTAATAACCACCACAAGCACTGATCTTGTCTATATTTAAACTCAAGAATGTAGAATGAAGGTTCAGAAGGACGACCTTTTTGCAAAAAATTAGTTACATATCTGAGTTTTGGAATGGCTCTCTCACTACTTCATACACAGACATTCTGCTAGGTGGGCACTCTCACTTATGACTAGCCAATAAGCTGCCTGTTTCTAAAATAATAAGATACTTCACAAGAGAACTTTTGTGTATGACTTTTTCCTAAACCAAGGAAAGGTTAGCTGCAATTCCAATGCAAACATTCCCCTGCAGGATTTATACTTTAGTGCTGAAGCATCCTGCAAATTCTCAGCAACGAGTGAATCAAAATGAAACCGAAAACATTCTCGTTAATGCAAGTGAAACATAATAAGAAATAAACCCAACTGCTGAAATAAACCTGATCAACTAAAATTACTGTGGAAAACTCCTTGGCCTCTTTGGGACATCAGATCTCAAAAGATAATCAGGACAGCTTCTTTCAACTTCTACAGTGTTTCCATTTGTAGCTTACTCTGTGAAAGCAAGTTCCACTTCCAGAAAAATTCCGTTTCTTAAACGCCCTAAGCATGAAGACAACTTGCTAAAAAAATCCAAAACATTTAATCTGACAGTGCTCCTTTAAGACAGAGCAGTGTGCAGCCTTCCAGCATATTTGACAGAGATTTCCTACTCCAAGAGATAGAATTTAAATTTGTAGAGGCAATTACTCATAACCAGTGAAAGCAGCCAATGCATGTGCCAAACTTGCCAACAAGAAGAAAGGCCAAGTATTAGAAAGGAGGCTGCAGTTTATTACAAGACAATTTGAACATCTCAGTCCACAAGGTCTGGAAAGTATTTTCTTCATCCCCTGACACTACATGCTCACACTAATGTGAGGAATTATGTCAGTAATATCAATATTCCAAACATATAAAACAGCAGTTAAGTATTTTTATAATGGAGATCTTCCGCTGACTATGTAAAAGCTGCTTCTAGTCTTGCCCAGCAGATTTATTTAAGCTCATTTTGCACAGGAAAGATGATGTGCCAGACCCACACCATGAACTGCTGTCTAGTCAGCTCCAAAGCCATCCAACTGGACCACCATCGAACAAAATTACTGTCTGATTAAACAAACACCTTAAGGCAACTCCCAAGGACCTGACTCTTGCCCCTTCCTATTAAAAGATAGAAAGGAAAAATGGAAAAGAAGGAGAAACTGGACCTCCTCAGGTAAGGAAGTCAAAAATCAAAATGGGCATCCAACCCATATGTCCCATGATCACCATGTCCCAGGACTGATATCCAATGCCCCCGACAAACAACTCAAGTGTCAGTAGACAACCCTCAGCATCACCACGTTGAATTGGCAGTTGGAAAAGACCTCATGGGAAACATTAAAAAAAAAAAAACAATAAAAAACAAACAAAAAGGCCCACTAAAAACCCAAAAATGACAACCAAAACCACATCAATTCACAGATGCGAGCTAACAAATGTACCCTCCCCTGCAAGGTAAAAACAATGCCAGCCTAGAAAATCAATAGTACAGAACAAATCCAACAGGTCCAGGGTAACCATGCAGCAAAGCCAGCACCCACTGAGAAACACAAGCAGCTCATGCAGCTGCTTCTGCAATGGGCTGGCAAGAGAAGGTAAGGGGATGCAAGAGCATGCACCTACCACACAATACACAGTGAGCAACATCCTTCCTATTTCAGCACCAGCAACTTACTCCATTATTTTTTTACAGCAACATGAGCTGCTTCTTACCATTTTTTGGTGCACTCAACCATCAATTCCTGGTAAGAGGCCACAAACTGGAACTTGGATGCATGTTTCCCAACACGCTGCAGTCTTTTCCAAACTGAAGCCATGGTGGTGAGAAATACCAGTCCTCTTACACAGCAGCAACTGCGTGGATCCCAACGGAGGTTTCAAAGAGCGTGTGTGCTTGATACAGGTTTATATACAGACACAGTAAAAAGAGTGTGGGAGAAACTTGACAGGATGTCTACAATTCATATTCTGCCTCTCCCCTCCTCAGGGTAAATCCCAGTCTAGCGGAATGGCTCATCACTGGTCAGGAGCAGCATGCAGTAGCAGTAGACGGGTAATGGAGAGGAAGTTCTCTCATGGAATCATCATTCTTCACACAGCAGATGAAGGGAGGACTGCAGGACTGGAAGACAAATAAGAGAGGGAGAAGAGATAGCATTGGTTAATACACTTCTCACTAAGTGCTGCAATTGCACGTGACCTCGTACCTTTCAAAGAACTACGAGCAACCACAAGAACACAGCCCTTTCCTGCTGTCATCTACACCCCCCCAACCCCTATTAAATAAATAAATAAAAATACTGCAGCAATTTCAGGAATTCAAACCACGAGACTGTTCGGAAACATATCAACATATCCTATTATCAGCAGCATCACAGCTGGCACCAACAACAAAAAAGGGCAGCTCAGGGCCACACCGAATCCTCGTGAAGCATCTCCGGGAAGCAGTGCAAAGTGGCTGAGGTGCTGCCAACATGCACCCACAGGGAGGGACACCGGGAGATGAAGTTCTTTGTCTTGATGACAAAAGGTGTAACAGTTGTTTCCTCTAACACACCTCCCGCTTTCATCTCTCTGTCCAAAGAGAAGGACCAGCCAAGAAGATAGAAAGGGAGTGTTGCTGCCCAAACGCCTGTGCCAGGGTGAGGAGGAGGACGAGAGAGGAAGGGGCATTTCCCGAGTCCTGGCTACCCAGGATTCCCCGTCTTCCTCGCTGCATCATATCGAAATGGAAATGTCTCTCCACCCTGCACTGAGTAATGATCATCAGGGCAGTGAAAAGGGAGAGGAGAAACCCAGGTGGGGTCTCCTCCCTCGAAAGGAAAGCAGCATCTGCGCCGGGTGCGGGGGGAAAAGCCTCTCCATGAGGAATACAGGGAAGCACAAGCAAGCCGCAGCTGGCGAGAAGTCAGGGTAGGATGGCATCAAAGCTGGCCAGGAGGCTACCTGAAGTGGAATGGCCCCCGGGAGAGCGGGTCCCCAGGGAGCCCCGGGGCGGGGAGCGCCCCGCTCCGCCTCAGCAGCCCGTGTCACCTCCGCGCCCAGCCCGCCGGGGCAGCGCCCCCCGCCCTTGGCCGGGAGCCGGAGCCGTTTAAAAATTAAAACGCCACCGGCGGGGAGCAAGGAGGGGAGCGGCGGCCTCGGGAGCGGCGGGAGGGAACGGGCGGCTCCCCGTGCGGCACTCACCTGCCGCCGGCTCCTCGCGGGCGGTCCCGCCGGGCGGGCGCGCTGGCACCACACGGCAGCCGAGAGTCAGCGCTGCCGCTGCCCATTACTGCAGCAGCCCCGCCGCCGGCAGCGCCCTGCGGCTGTCCCCGTCCTCCCGCAGCCTCATGGCGAGCACCGCTCCCCCGCCGCTCTCCGCGCCGGCCGGGCAGACAGCGCGAGTCGCAGCGCCCCTCACGCCGCCACCATCGCCCTCCTGCCGGCGCGCCTCCCCCCGCCTCGCCGCTCCCCCGCCCCCGCCGCCCGCCGGGGCCCCGCCCCCGCCGCATCATTGGCCCCGCCGCGGGGCCTCCGCAGCCCATTGGGTGTCGCACCTGTCAATCATCTCGCGCAGCGGAGGGGGGAGGCGGTGAGCGTAGAGGGCTTCGCAGATCCTCATCTCCCGCCCCAGCCCTGCTCTGACTGGTCACAGAGTCCGAGGAGGCGGGGCCCTCCTGAGGAGCGGTCACTCGATAGGCCAGCGCGGCCGTCTGTCAGCGCCCGGCGATTGGCGGCGGCGCTTCCCGAAGCCGCGGGGGGGGGCGCGGCGCGAGGAGCGGGCTGTCAGGGGAGGGGCGTGGCTCCGCCGCCGCCCCCGAGACTCGCCACCGCCCCGGGGCCGGGGAGCGGCGGGAAGGGAAGGGCCGGGTCGGGGCAGGGAACCGGGGGGGAAACCAGTGATGCCTCCCGTGAGGCGGCCCCGGGGAGCCTGAAGGGAGCGAGCGGCAGCGGGTCGAGGCGGCGGGAGGGGAGGAGGAGCCGTGGCGAGGGACAGTCCCCGCGCTGGGCCCGCCTTGAGGAGGGGGCGGTGAAACGGCAGGCCTGGCCCGAGTGCTGCGGCACAGGCCCCGCTCCTGAGGGCTCCGGGGTTCGGGTGCGGTCGGGAAACTGGTGGGAATTAAACGCCGCAGGCAGGACGATGTTCCCGTGCTGATTTAACCTGCGTGCTCAGGGAACGGCACCAGGCGGCGGGGGCTGCATGCTGTGCGCAGTTCGATGTTAAAGCGTCTGCACGGGGGAACGGAGCGGTGAGGGGTGATCGCCGTGGGATGCGGCTGTGAATTCCCCGTAGCCAGGCTGGCAGAACGCTTCTCCTACACTGCAGTGCCATGAAGGAGCTGTGGGGACCCAGATGCAAAGCCTCGGTGCTGGGTTCCAGCATTAATCTAAAATCAAGCAGTGGCTTGCTCTGGTTCCTGCTCTCGTTGCCCACGTGCCCTCTGGACGCCCGTACAGGTCTGTTTAAGTTTGGGATCCCAAAGCACCATTTGCTGTAGGTGAATTCCAGAGTCAGAGTAATGCTCTCTGCGTGATCTCTGGGAGCTAATCCTAAACCTATCAGCCATCCAAGTCAGAAACTAAGCCATCTATCAAGTGGAAGCACAGGGAAATAAGGAGGTTAATGCAGTGGAGCTCTGAAAGCAGCTGTAAAATTGAAGCCTCGGGGCTTTGCAGTCCTCTTGTCTTCTTTCCCATGACAAACCGAATGGAGTCCAAGCCTGATCCACAGTCTGGAAAGCTCCTTATCCCAGCGTTTTCCTCCTTTCCCCTAAGAGCCTCTCGCTCTTGTGGCATATCAGAGAGGCTGCCAGCATTCAGTGGCTGGAGTGAAAGGAGAGAAAGAATGACTGTGTGGATGGCCACAGGCCTAAGCTGAGCTAAGTTACTTCAGAGAGGTTGAATATTTGGGCTATTGAAAAGGTCAGCCCTTTGCTTATAATGTATTACTCTTCAGCCCTTACCCCAGCTGCCAGAGGGTGTGCACTCGGAGCTGTCCTGGAAGAGGCAGTGATTCTCTTTTTTTTTAAGTGTTACACTGAAATGTTGCAGACAGCTGTACTACTCACAGATTTTCTTGGAAAATCCTTTTTTCCTTTTCCCTGAATATTTCTGAAGTTAAGCAAAAATATTTGAAGATTTTGTACATTTGTCTTAATGTTTCTGTCCCAGTTTTGTGGCTGGTCTATACACACAGTAATTCCAACACACTTGAGGGAGACATCACTGGGCTTTTTAAGTGCAGATCACCTGCTTAGGATTTGGGAAATGAGGCCAGGATTTCCAGAGCACATCACACTAAGAACATGCAGGATGGAGCATACAGATGCTTGGTTCTGACTTGGAAAATACCAGATGGAAAACTAGCAGCTGTGAAGTGGATCAAGAAAGACAATTTAAAATTCCCTGGGAGGAGATCCTTGGCCCTGAGGAGGTCCTTGGTTCTTCATACCAGAGAAATATCAAGTAATCAGTTGTGCTGATTGTATTTCAAAAGTTGTCTTTATTCTGAGTATACTACCAAAAGTTAATCGATGAGCTTCTCTGATTTATCTCCTGAATAACCTGCAGCACCCAGGCTAATTCCTAAGACATACCTGTGACCAAAATCTTACTTTCATCATACTGAGATAGCCATTTTCTGTCCAGTGGAATAAACACAGGAGGTCTGGTGGTTTGTTCTGTGACTTGTGTTTCAAACATCATTATTTATTAACATTTTCCATTTCCTTCATAGCTTTTGGGTTCAACTTACACCAGGCTGGGAGGTTCACAGCATAAGGCTGCTTTTGCCTGTGTTGTGTGGGGAGAAATACAACACAGGCAATTATCCTACCAGTTATCTATTTTACAGTTTTTAGGAGCAGCCATCCTCAGTTCTTGTGATTTTGGGAAAAGCCTTAAGAGATTTCAAAGGGTGAGAGGAATTACTGTGGGAGGAAGGGCAAGATCTTCAGCTGCAGATTGGAAGCTAAGAGGCCATCACAGCATTCTCAGGTTACTGGACTGAGTCTTGCACCAGACCAACTCAAAAGCTCTTGTGACTTCTGCTGGCAGCTCAGAGCCCAGAGGAACCAATAAATGGCAAAAAGGGATTAGCAAGGACATGGATGAAGAGCCCCAAAGCTCCTCCTTGGGTCAGCAAGGAGCCCCCATGTTGACTTAATTTCCATATTGCAAACATCTCTTGACTGGTCCTGCTGGCCACAAGCCTGGTTTGTGACAATGACCCAGCTCAAACCATAGCTCAGCTCAGGATCTGAGCCAGGCTTTGGGGAAATGGTCACATTTTTACTTAATCCAATATTATGAGCTTGAAAACAAGCAAAGCTAGTTACACCAAGGTAACCAGTGCTCTCTTTTCAGGTCAGTAGCTGAGTGAAAAACCTGTGTGTGACTCCCTTCACAGAGAAGGGTCCTGTAATCAGGGTCCTTCTGTAATCAGAAGGGTCCTTCTGATTAAAAAAACAAAAATGGTGCTTCACTTTATGTACAGTGTCAAATCTCTTCTGCAAGCAGGAAGAACAGTCATGTGATGAGCAGGGAGGTACCGTTTTATTATTTAATGGGTATGACACAATCTATTGAAACCATATGCACGTCACATCTGCTGCCTTCCTGCTGCCTTCCTTGCCTGTGGAAGGACACCTGAGGAAGTGTGTTTGTGTATATTTGTGTGGTTTATTGTCTGTATTGTCCTGGAAGTGGCATGGGACAGGATGCTGAGAGCTGCTCAAGATGCGAGGTTGGTGGGGCTGGCCAGGGAGCCCCAGAGCAACCTGACCCTGTTCTTTATAAGCAGCTGGTTTCACCAAGGACACCCTTACTATCCAAACCAAATACTCATGCTCTGTGGCTCCTCTTTTCCCCTTGCTATCTCGACACTCAGACTCCCTCACAATCTCCACAGAAATCCCTGTGTATTTTTTTTTCTGGATTTTGCCTCCTGTTCCCTGGCTTTGACTGGTGGTGGAAGAATTCAAGCTTCCTGGCCCAAGTAGAGAGATGATCTATGCTCTATTTCTGTTATTCCCTGTCAAGCTTTAAAGCTCTCCAGCCTCTCCCTTATCCTTCACCGCCTCGTCATCAGCATGACTAAGGACAGGTTGTTCACCAATCAAGAAATGACCTTTGCTAGGAATAGCTGTCATAAATCTCCATTTCCCTGTCCTTTCTGTGCATGAGCCTGCAGAAATGTCACTGAGGAAATCAAGGAATTGGATTATGTCAGATTTGCAAGAACATTCCGCTTTCTGAGGCAAAGGTCTGTGTACATGAGGTTACCCACACCTGCCACGTTTTAACCTCCTTGTATTTCTAGATCCCATCAAACCTTTGATCCTCTGTTAATGAAAGTAGTGGAGAATTTGTGCTGACCTCAGTAATATCTGTAAAGTACCACCCTCCTGCTCCCCAACATGTCTCTAACTGGTGCTTGACACCTTAACATTCCCTTCTGTAACATTGTCTGCTCTTTTTCTCGCTCTTTTTCTTTGCTTCTTCACATCCCAACAGTAATTTAAAAATCCATGTGCATAACAAATCATAGTATACATTGAAAAAAAAGGAATTTTTTAATCCTCCCTTCTTCATTTGTTTCTTGTTTGTTGCTGATAAAATTCCACTCAGATGTCATTTCACATGGTCTGGTAACACCCAGCAGCCATTCTGTATTGGAGGGAATAATGTTTTGAATATTCCCTCTGCTAAATATCAGTGACAGTTGAAAGGGGTTGTGTGTGTGCATTATCCCGTTTTATTTGTGCTCAGAAAGTTGACTTTGAGACTGGCAGCTGGGAAAAGGCAATTCCCGCATTGCAGAACCAGACAGCCCAGCTCCTAGCACAGCCTGGACCAAAAACAGATCATTTCAGCAATAACTCCCTTAAGCTGTGTTTAAGGCACAAGGCACAGAAACACCACCATTTGTTCTTGCCTTGCCAGGAAAAGAAGTAAATTTTGGGATGCACTCTGGTGGTCTTGTGTTTTGTTCCTGCTCTTGCCTAGGTTGAGGCAGGCAGCCTAGCCTGGACCAGCTCACCCATGCAGCATTCCCAGCCCAGGCCAGGTCCAGTGGAGCTGTGTACAGGCACCCACTGTCTGAAAGCTCCTAATCCAGAGTCTGCCCCCTTGGAGAGCCCTGCTGCCAAAAGCAATCTGCAGAGCCAGGGGCTGGGGTAACTCACCAGCCTCCCTTTCTTATGGATCATTTGTTCTACCCCTCCCTTGCTGTGGCTGGATCCTGCACTTGTATGTGGTGAGACCCTGTGGTGCCTCCCCTCCAGACTCTGTGCCAGAGGGGGTACCCAAAATGCCAGCTCCCTGAGTGGCAGCCTCATGTCACAGCCCCCTTGCTCTCCTGTGCCCAGCTTCATTACGCCACCCCAGAGGCACCAGGCACCCCCTGGCCTGCTCCTCTTAACCCCACTGCCCAAAGTCTTGTAGGCAAA